CCCCAAAACCCCAAAACCCCAAAACCCCAAAACCCCAAAACCCCAAAACCCCTCATGCTTGTTTTATCATTGAAATAACTTAATCAGAGTCAGACATGAACATTTGTTGGTTGCTATCTTCTTCTTCAGCCTCTTCATCACTATCAGGTTGTTGGTTCACGATGTTCATCTCAAGAGCAACCTCTTCTTCTTCCTTAATTCAGGCTATAATAGTTATCTTGTCTTTCAGCTTGAGTTCAACGTCAAGGAGGTCATCGATCTCAGCAGTGTCTTCGTCTGGCTGGTTTCTACCAATGACATCTCTCAATTTTTTCTTGAATTGGTTCCTGACCATGAACCTGACAAGATCGAAATCAATGCTGTCAAGTTTTTCAAGTTTCTTTGTGAACATGTTCCTCATTATGTAGACACCTGTGTCACAGATGTCAGACCTTAGTGTCATTCTGGCTGATGGGCACTTCTTTAGGATTGATGTGTGGATAGATAAGCCACTAGAATCCTCAGCCTCAAAATTGTTAAACATTCAATACACTTCATTGTTTTCTTTGTTGATGCCATAGATATTGAAGTTATCAGCAAAAGCCTTCTTTTTAGCTTGCTGGTCTAGATCGCTTTGCTTCTTGAGGATCATAGTTATTTCTGCTGAGTTGATCTTGTGGATTGCAAGAGCATCCATAAGGTTCATCTCAAGCAAGTACTGACCATGTACAATAATTAAATCTTTCTTTAGATGACTTGAAATAAGCTGCATTGCCTTTATGGTACTGTCTTCTGTATACTTTAAAGCAAACACTCTCACATTTAATTTTGGAATAATTTCTCTTGCTATTCCCATTTTGGCAAGATATTTAGAGAAATTAATGTTTTGGAGTTCCTTCTCAATAGGATCATCTTTTACAGTTACGATAGCAATGTCATACATCTTGCTCTTCACAAGCATTTCAATATGATAATCTAACAGAGGCTTCTCTTTAAGACCTAATTTCTTTAATTTTGGGCCTACATCGAGAGATCTGGAGCTCTCACCACTTCCAGTATAGAGAAGGACTGAGTGAAAGTCTCACTTATGAGCGGAGGCCTTACTGCTTTGTATCTCCTTGTCATACTCAAGCTTGTTCCTATAATGTATGAATCTTTGATGAAATCAAGATTGCTTACTCTTCTTCCATTTTCCTGTTACTTTTTCAATAATAATTAAGATTTTTGGGGTTTTGGGGTTTTGGGGTTTTGGGGTTTTGGGGG